TATACAGCAGTCCCGACGGGATTCCAATAGTACTGGATGAGATTCCAGAAGTAGTCTGTGTAATCCTCCTGGAAGTCATGGTTGAAAGCACATGGTACTCAGTCATAGTCATAGTACTGAATTCAGGGGTGTAACAAGCTGGTGAAAGAAAATGTCTCACAGGGTTCAATCAGTGAAGGTCAATTAATTGCTCCTTCACATCCTGCCCTACAGTCAGCAAAGAAGAGGGAGTGTTTAAAATGAACTGTTATTTAAAGGATTTAACCCCAGTTTGAAAAAAATTAAAAATTTAAGATACACTTAAATATGTTTCATGGGGTCACAAAGAGTTGGACACGACTTAATGACTGAACAACAACAACAACAAATAAGGAAAAAAAAATAGATGATATTAAAAATCTTTACCTTTCAAGCTGCAAGACCTGGTCTGCCTTGCGAAGGGGGCTGTGTGGGCCACAGACTCCTTGGAATCCACAAGTGAGTCTCATCACCCCATACATGTAAATCCTTTTTGGACATTTATGCCAGAGATGTTTGAATTTCCCATTTCATTCATTGTGAAATTAATCATTTCCTTCCCAATAATGAGATTTAAAATGACTTTTGAATGAACTTTAAATCCTAAAAGACACAGCCAGAATCATGCATTTTTGCAATTTTTTTGTTCAGTCTTCCAGAAAATTTCCTATGCTGTTGGGGGCCACCAATTTTCTTCTGAAAGAGTCCTCACCTTGAATAGTTACGTAAAAGGCAAATGTCCATTTTCTGAACCCAACCTATATGCACTCCATATTTTTTCCCCCAAAAGTACAGAAACAGTAACTTATTTGCGCTCACAGTCAGAAAGCACAGATGTTAATTATTATCCTCTACTGGTAGAGGTGAAAGAATGCTTTGGATTTAAAACAAAACAAAAAACCAAGGAGGTGCATGAAAGGTTAGAGGAAATCTGGAACTTAGCTTTGGTTTGGGCTCCAGTGGGCCTCCTCCTTTCAATCTTATCTCATTTAAACAATTTCTTGGATTTTTGAAGAGGAAAAGAACTCAGAGAAGGATGGAGCTGACATGGGCAGGAGG